TTTAAAAAAAAAACACTTAAAAATGCATATCCTTGCCAACACAATTCCCCTTTCTGTTAGGAACATCTACCCACATATACTCTTGGGTATGATACCTTGGGTTCCCAGATATTTTAATTTAGATGTAGAAGGCCCACAGAAATTTGAAGTCCAATGCAAAGTGTGATAGACGGACTGAATATTTTCAGTTTTCATCTGACCAGCACAGAAAAAAAAAAGAGAAAAACTTCTACCATGTATTCTTCTTATGGATAAATCTGTTTAAGTTGAACATTGTATGGCTTTGGATAAAATACTTAACCTATTTAAGTAATGGACTCTAGTGTCAGTCTCTTCATTATAATAAAAAAAAATGTTGAAGTATATGTGTGAGAATCTGGTAGGTAAAATTGAAGTGCTCAGTACAATGCCTAGTAACAGTGAGACCCAAGGACCTAATTGTCTTTATCCTGTTGTGATTATATCCTGAGCTCTTGTGAGAATCCAGGCTCTACTTGTCAAATTTCCTCAGAAAAATTATGGTATTTCCCCCTGTAGTTATAAAGTTGAATGTTAATGTTTAGTCTTATTGCAATTCATTTTGTGAGTTTTGATTCCTGTTCTCTAGCTGTCCACAATGCTTTTGGATCCAGCTGCTCCACAGTGATAACATTTAACACTGATGCCAAGAATATGGGGTGGGCTATCAGAAGTGTCAAGGCCAGTGAATACAATGAGGGGAATTAGTCAGCAGCCAGAAAAAGAGAGTGGTTTGGGAGGGTGTCTCAGGAGGGAATGCTCATGAGCTGGATAGAGAATAAAGAAAAGAGGAGAATGATAAACATAATATAGACATGCCAAGACGAGAGTGATTTCTATGAAGTGAATGAGTAAGACAGCAGAGAGAGAAGAATCTGGCCTTTCTATATTTTTGACATGCATACATAAATATGGAACAACAAATCCCATCATTACAATTATAATGAACTGACAAAAAATGAGAAATTAAAAATAAATAAATAATTTGGGCATGGAACCATTCTGGCTGGGAGAAATTTCTCAGGGATGGTCATAGGAAAGGGTGGTCAAAAATGAGTAAATGTGGAAGTTGACATCAACCATCTGAAAATAATTGAGAATTGACAGAGAGAGAGTTACATCCATGTGATATGGGATCCATACAAGTGGTATTACTTAATTAAAGAGGAATGAGCTATTGATAAATCCTACAACATAGATAAATCACAATTATTCTGAGTGAAAGAAATTAAACTCAAAGAGTTATAGTCTCTATGATTTTTGTGGTAGACACTCTTGAAAAGATAAAAAAAACATAACTGTGACACAAAACAGATCAGTGGCTGCCAGAGTTAGGGGTTGGGTTTGTGACTATAACAGTATTGAGGGAGTTATTTTGGACTGATGAAACTGTTCTATATCAATTTTACAGTACACCAATTAATACAGACAGACAGAAAAAGAGAAACAGAGAGAGAGAAACAGAGAAAGAAAGAATTAGAACACACCAGATCCAATATTATGCCCTTGTTTTACAGATGAGGAAACTAAAGACTGAAACCTGGAGAATGTCAAATGTCAGGAGAGATAGGGAACATCCCCCACCGCTTCCACATGCATGTGTGCCTAGGCATACCCAAGCTCACAAACCACACGTGAAGAAGAGGGTAGGCGATAGGCCCTAGAAAAGGGAGTGTTTAAAGGTTTGGTAAAATGTTTGGAAATGGAGAGGGTGAAAGAGATTTCTCAGATTTCAAGTGGAAAAAAAAAAACTGTAATATCTTCACAACCATGTTTAAGTCATTCATTAAATATCTCAGTATTATGAAATAATTGCCAAATTCTGTGTCCATAAATAGAATTCTGAAACTTGTTGTTGCTTAGATGTTTTTGTTGTCTCTTCTCAAGAACTGCAGAATGGGCGCAAACATGAACTAAATTAGTTCCTGTAAAGGTCTTGGAACAACACCTGGAACAGGATGTTTGCTATGAGTGAGAGAAATAAAAGCCTGTCACAAGTTCAATAAATCATCCCTAGCCATACCACTTAAAAAATTTATTTTTTTTTAAAGAAGGCATTTGGGGATTAATAGAACAGGAGGACGCCATCCCTGGGAAGATCTTAAGCTGCGGGGGAAACACAATTACTCCTCTAACAGATCACAGTGTGAAGGAGAATATTTTCAAACTCCAGCCCTCAGAAGACAGATGGCCATGCTGCCTGCTTTCATTCAGGTCAGTCCTGACTCAAGATGCCCTGGATAAGGAGGATCTGAGGCTCAGCAAACTAGTGGTCAGGGTCAGAGTGAGGATGGGCACCAAGAGACTTTTTTAGAGGTTGCACTTGTTTGGAAGAACCCTGTTTTTATTTCAATTGTGTGATACATGTCATTATATATTGCTGTATCTGCGAGTTGATGTTGATCTATTAATCAAAAAGGTCTTCAAAGTAAGAAGTTGTTTTTAAAGGGAATACATAGGTATGAGTTTCATTTAAAATTAAAATCCATTTATGTGCATTTATTAATTATTCACAATACATAATTTTTAATATTAATGCTTTTTTCATTGATTTTTTTGGCAATTGATATAGGATTAAAGATCAATATGTTGTAAAATCACATTATAATATTTCTTGCTACCACATAAATAAATGTGAGTTTTCCATTAGGTCCCATCACTTCATATGTATATTCATATAGTTCTGTTTCTTAGAATTCTATAACACATATAATTGTACTTTGTAGCACATTATCTCTAAATTTGCATGAGACAGACCTTTATTGTTGTAGCCTACAAACTCATGGAAATAGCATTTAAATCCCTCTCTAATAACACTTTACACTTGCCACTTCTACAAAATTTTTCAGTTACATGAAAATTTTGATACCACTAAACTTGTTTTATATTCTTTTTACTGCTATACCTCCAGTGGTCAATAGGTATGTAAGTTCTCTATAAGTAATTTATATTTTAAAATAATGTGAATTTCAGACCAAATGGCAAAGATAACTAGAAACCTAGGTGCCTAAATTAAACATACTGTATGCAACTTTAGAAAAATAAATAAATGGTATAGAAAGAAATACAAAAAAAAATGGCAAACTTTCCAAGAACTCTTTTTTTTTTGAGTTTCAAAGTTTATTTTAAGGAAATAATCAGATAAATACTCAAAGATGAGTATGTGAAAATGCTTATGCAAGAATTATTAATATTACCTAATAAAATTAAAACAGCCAAAAATCCAGTAGTAAGGGGGTGATTTATCAGAGTTTCCCCAAGAACATATTCTAGAACTTAAATTTTTTATATAAATTTATTTTATTTATATATGACAGCAGAATGCATTACAATTATTGTTACATATATAAAGCACTTTTTTTCATATCTCTGGTTGTATGCATAGTATATTCACAACAATCCGTCTCTCCATACATGTACTTTGGATAGAAATGATCATAACATTACACCATCACTAATTACCCCAAGCCCCCTCCCTTTCCCTTCAACCCCTCTGCCCTATCTAGAGTTTGTCTATTTCTCCCATGTTCCCACTACAGCTCAGTTGGTAGAGTGTTTGTCTCACATGTACAAGGTTCTGGATTCAATCCCCACCACCACAAAAAAAAAAAAAAAAAAAAGCCCAAGAACTCTTTCTAACCATTTGTACAATTACTGAATAATATAGGAGTAGCTACTTACTAGTTTTGAGCTATGCTGCATCAAAACAGCACATCTAATTTGTAGAAATTTCTGATGTTTAGCTTTTGCTTTTGAAAAGAATTCTCTCATCAGAGTTCTTATTTGCCTAGATGTGACATTGGTATATAAGGTTTCTTAGTTGAGACAAGGACGTTTAGGATAGATCACCTCCAAACACTAGCATAAAATTAACAATAGATTTGGAGTGTCATTACCTATGACATTAACTACAGGTGGTAGATCATGGTTCAAGCAGGATGGACAGCACAAAGAATTACAAACACTTTAAAGAAGGGTAAAGAAGCAAATTATGCCATCATTGAAAAATGCCTAAACCATAGCATTACTTTTGCCAGGTTTTCTGTATTGCTTAGCAGAAAAGAACAAAAAAATTATGAGTTAAAAATGTCCTGAGCTGTTTTATGTGAGAAGTAAGTGAGGGAAATGAAAATGGTAGGTGAAGTCTAAATCAATAGTCACTATTGTCAGAATAAAAATATCAGGAGGTATGGTAGGAATATGGAAAGAAAACCAGGCTATCTTAGTCCACTTAATTTGGCAGTTTCTGAAATAAAATTACAGGTTTGCACGTCCTGCATGAATGTGGAATTCAGGTTCACTCCCTGTGAATTTGGGCTGGCAACAAAAAGACCACAGACCCAGAAATACCTTTTTCAGAGGTCAGAGACAGCTCAGCAAGTTCAAGCTCCCACGTTGGAGGGCAAGGGGAGCAAGGGAGGCAGGAGGCAAGGAGTAAGAGCAGCAAAGAGCCACCGGACTCTGAACCCCAGTTTTATTCAGGGGGAAGCATTCCATGGAACATTCTACCCAAATAAGGCAAGGGATTGTGTTACAATGAACAGGTGGGTGCAAGCTCAGCCCCCTAGTGTGACGCCCAATCCCAGAGTGCACCTCTCTTGCTGAGCAGAGTTAAGTCCACATGCACTGCAGCTGGTGCAATGCCAGTCCAATACCTCCACACTCAAGGCTTAAAGAGGTGTGCTTATCTCCTGTTCAGGGAGGCCTCCGACAATTACTCTTCTTTTGGAATACTCTTCTTTTGGGATGGATATAGATTGTTCTATCTCCCTTACTTCTGTTGCCTATATCCCTTTTCTTCAAGATCACAGGCATTCCTTCTTTATTACAATGGATGCATACATAATTTTGCTGCTCAAGTCCATCTTCTTTTTTTATAACTAACTCTAACTCTGAAAAACTGGGTAGACCAAGATTTTTTTTTCTAATAATGGGAAAGACCCAGAAATCAGGGCAATCTCAAAAGACATTGTAATAAATACTCAAGCTCTGCCATACCCAGAAAACAGGTGAATGATGCTCTTCTGAATCTGCTTGGTCTTGATGCTGTATATAATTGGGTTCATGAATGGAGGAAAGAGAAAGTAGACATAACTCATGGTGATGTGAACCACATGGGGGGCATGTTTCCCAAACCTGTGGATGAAGGTCAGGCCAATCACAGTGATGTAAAATACCAGGACGCAGCTCATATGGGAGACACAAGTGTTGAGGGCCTTAGCTCGCTCCTCTCCAGAGGCAATGCCCATAACTGTCTTCAGAATCAGGATGTAAGAAAAGAGAATAATTAGAGCATCTAGGAAGAAAGTCAGAGCCACCAGAACAACTGGGTATAAGCGATTAAATGTAATATCAGCACAAGCAAGTTTCATGACATCTTGGTGGAGGCCAAAGGCATGGGAAAGAACATGGGAATGGCAATATGAAAACCAAAAGAGTGGCAGAATTGGGGGCACAAGAGATAAAAGGCCTCTTAGCAGTACCCCCAGACCTATTTTCATCAACCTGGAGTTGGTAAGGATGGATTTGTACCTCAGAGGAGAGCGGATGGCAATAAAACGGTCATAGGCCATGGAAAGCAAGATACCTGATTCTACAATGGAAAGGGAGTGAATGACATAGGCCTGTAAGAAGCAGGCCCCGCGGCTTATCTCCCTGTGATTCACCCATAGGACACCCAGTACAGTAGGCATTGTCGTCAATGTCACTGTAAGGTCTGTGCCTGCCAGCATGGCAAGGAAGTAGTACATGGGTTCCTGGAGGTGGCAGTCATCTTTGATGAGGTAGAGGAGTGTGCCATTGCCCAGAAACACAGAGACATAGATGGCAAAGAAGAGAATGGAGATCCAGTGGTAAGCTGCCTCCAGACCTGGGAAGCCATTCAACAGAAACGGGGCAGCACTAACACTGGGCCACATGCTTTGCTCACAAGTGGAGAAAGATTTATGAAAACTGGGAACCCTAAACCCCACCAGTTTCAATCACAATATTCATACTTAGGAAGAACTAATTGATATATGCATACAGTTTTCTTATAGAATAGCAGAGTCTTAGAGGGTGTACCAGGGATAAGGAAAGATGATCTTTTCTAAAGTTACATATAATATTAGGTCAATGGTTAAAATTGTTCTCAATTAAAAAGCACATTATTTTTATAGCAAGATACTCTACTGTTTGTTGTATGCATGCTGAAATATTTTTGAAGCGATAATGGCTACAAAAAAGATGACAAATTCATACAAAAGAATGACAACTGTATTTAGCTACACTGCTATTTGGTTTCAGGGTGTTTTTGCTACATTTAAATTTGATTTTATATTTTACAATAATAATAAAGACATAGTTTTCATTAAATTTTTTTTTCTTACTTTAGTTTTGAAATTGAATGCCAATGTTTTATTGAATTCTAACAAAAGTTATGATCCCTTTATGGAGAGAGATGGAGACGAGCAGATGACACCATGTCTAAAAGCATTCAGTCTTCCTGGAGTCCATACTTGAGTCCCACATTAAAAACTCCAAGTCTTTCTTGACCCAAGTATTGAAATGAAGTCTATGTTGTCGTTTCAAATGAGTGCATGCATTCTTGAAGATAGATTTTCTCACGAACCAGCATAATTACTGATAAGTCCTTTGGAATAGTAAGCTTTATTATCTGTCTCCTGTTGTTATCCAGCAGCCATGGTTCTTGTTTCTGGACCAATACAAGTCAGGTAAGAAAATAACTGTTTAAGTGTTCAATAGTAAGGTGAAGAAATGGATTGGCCAAGGTAGTCTTTCAATCCCTGAATTAAAAAAAATAATAATTTGTACTGAGTGAAAAACCATACTACTCATATTCTAGGAAAGAATATGTCTTATTTTCTAAATTTATTCTGTAAACTAGCACAATAATAAAATTTTTAAATGAGTATGGGTGCAATGTGATCAATCATGAAGACCTCATTTTTACTTTTGACATTAGAAATTCAGTTAAGTTCCTCCTGAACACCATTCTGCTTGCAAGTCTTTCTAAAAATCAATAGAATTGGGTAAGTCATGATTAGGAGTCAGTTTTTGGAAATGGCTTGAATCAGAATGCTGAATTTATGTCCTCTGTACTAAGTACTAATTTATGGCTTTGGAAGAGCCACATTTGGGACTCAAAATGGAGTAGAGGTAGTGAGTTTCTGAAATAATTCATCTAAAGTTAGACTCCTCTGCCTCATTTCATCAATAGGTGGATTTTCCTCTCACTGGCACCTACTCAGCTATCTTACTGCTCAAATATAACCCCGTTGCTGGCAACATCACTTCCTCTAGAACAAATAAAATGTATTTTTATGTGGACTGCCCCAGGTTTGGGATAATCTATTAGGCAAGACCCCACTGACCCCATTCATGGAGGACAAGGCTGCAGAGAATGATACAGTCTTACCCTCCACTTCTCAAGGCAGCCAGGGTTAGGAGCTCTGGAAGAAGTAGGCAGGGAACCAGCAGTGTCTATTTCCTTGAGTAGCCATTTATTTTTTGTCTCATTGTAATTTCCAAAGCCTTATTTATCCCCTTCATGTTTCCTGCTATATAGCCTGTGAAGTACAGAATCACAGTAGTATAATTTCAGATTTGGGGGGAACTCCTATTTCCTGTAATGAAAGCTCTGGAATTAAAAGGTAAAATGATTTTATAAATCATAAATTAAGTTCAAAAATTAATAAGACAATTTTAGAAAAATGTAAATATATTGAAAATAGCACTCTTCAATGTGAACTGATTGTTACACAGGTTAATACAATAGCTTGAGTGGTCTGGGACTGCACTTATGAGAAGGTGACATTTGAGCTGAGACCTAAGTAACAAAAAAAAGTTGACATATTAATATTTGGAGGAAGACCCTGGAATTGAGAAGAGAAAAATCAGGGTGGCCAGAGTTTGATAAGTAAACAGGAGAGAGACAACAGGTAATACCATATGCCCCCAGCAGTATCAGGTCTCAAAGAGCTTCATGAATCACAATAGGATTTTGTTTTACTAGAAATGTGATGAGGAGATATTGAAGATCTTTAAAAATCACAATAAAGGAGAGAGTGGTGACAGATTCAGACATATTTTGATTACCATTTTTAAATGATTTACTGGCACTTATATGAAGAATAACTAATGAAGGAGGAGGAGGAGGTAGAGAAGAAAAGCGTTAGTTAGAGAGATATTGAAATAATCCAGATAAAGAGTGTTGTGGTTATTCTGACCAGGAGAGAAGCAGTAAAAATTATAACAATATGTTAACACATAAAGATATATTTTTTTCTGTTTTGTCAAGACATGACATAATATTGGAAATGAAAGTTAAGGAAAAACAAAATGAGATTGTTCTTAAGATTACTGATTTGAACAGATAACAGTAAAATCTTTTACTCAAAAGACTAAGTCTGAAGAAGAAACTGTTGACTTGTGGAAAAATCATAACTCTATTAGTAAATATATATGTTGGAGAAAATATACTTCCTATTTGTTTCTTTTCACATACCAGCAGAGTTTCTTTAAGCTGTTTTTATTTCAAATTAACAAGATAGTCTCATTCAAATATGCTCCCAAGTAGATTTTTTTATTCAGTGTTGAAACACCACGCATAAGATGCTGCCAAAGAAAACCATCCTCTTACCTTGTACCCATACAAGTCAGACCCTGCTGTAATTGACCCAGCAGTCAAGAAGTGCAGACAACTTTGCATGAAACAATTGCACAGCTCTTTTGACTTACTGCTAAGAAATACAAAATTAATGGAATCACTTCTTCATCTCCATACTCTGTTCCCAAGAGAGAGAAATAAAAATGAGAATTTAGTACCTATTGGAAATATAGTAAGAGATATATACTCTTTAGTTATTAGATGCAGAGGTAATTTCACATAACTCTTCTTCTTGCTCTAAGTTCAGAACAAAACTTCTTTGCTCTGTTTTCCTGATTTCTTCTCTGACCCTTTAACAATGGTCTTCTTTAACTCAGTCTCCAGGCATACCACAATTTTGTGAGGAATCCTCTTGTGTAAAAGAACATGTAGTGCAAGTAATTATACACTACAGGGAAAGCTATCCTACATGGAAGGGATAGATTGTATTTGCCAATAACCTTCATCCCAAAGTTTTGCCTGCAGAATCCCTATAAGTTCTATGTAGATGTGCTTTGTACTGCAGCTTTAATGGGCGGGCTATAGCATCACCCTACTTCAGGCTATGGGAAATGCACATTTCTTCCACTAGAAGCTGCTCTTGGTTTCTTAAAGAAAGAACAGGAGACAACAGACAAAAGGTAAGGAAACATAGGGAAGAAAAGAGGCCCGTAGATGACAATGGTACCAAGAGAGTCCATAATTCAACATGTAGAAGAAAAATCAGATACAACTTTTACCATTTACAACTGGAATCTTTCCCTATATCATTTAAAAATAAGTCTGGTAGAACAAATGATACATCTCTGTTCATCTCCTAGAAAGGTGCGAAGACATGAGCGGATCAACCATATTTTTATTCCTGGGAACAAAATGTCTTACATTCTCATTTCCAACTCCATTCCTGAGTGCTATCAGCTTCAGCCTGAGCTCTATGCAGACATCAAAAGCTGCAGACTGTGGAGATCCTTCCCTTCTCACACTCTCTCTCTAGACAGCTTTTATTGAAGTCCCATAGTACTGTCTGCAAATGTTTAGTATCTCTTCATGCTAACATGTATCATAAGCTTGGTAATGTGTGGAGGAGCAGGATATTATTTCCTTCCTGAACACTCAGATCATATGGCTCCTTCCCAATGTGTGCTTAAGAGACTCAGTCCCTGAGGTTATTAAAGAAGAAAGCCCTTCCCCAGATGCCTCCCTTTTGTAGCCAACTGGGATCTAAAGAAATATTCTATTTTAACCCCTCTTCTGCAGGAGATTGAACACTAAATTAACCTCCCCAAGCTCTAGAATGATAGCCTCCAAATAAGGTATGGGAATAATAGAGCCACAGGTAGCAGCTTATGCATGAGGAATCAGAGAGCTTGACTTTATCATCCCTGTAGACCCTTATGTCTCCTGTAGGAGGCTATTTATTCTCCACATGCACTTCCATGGCTAAATAATACTTCCTAGTTGCTCTCGGGAGAAACTGGAACATCTTCTTGGTCTAAGTGTTGTGAATTGCATCATATTTTCTGCTTGATTTATCTCAGAGCCAGCCTAGGGTCCCTATGTTGAAATCTAGGCAGCCTTCCCCGGTGCAAGTATGATCTCAAGATCTGCAGGCAGCACCAAGTCCTTATTGAGTACATCTTGCCAGATTTTTCTTCTTGCCAAGAAATGTAGCACACACTTAAAACACAGTGTTTCAGCCAAATATACCCCATCACTGTAGTCCAAGAGATAATAATATTTTGGATTCCTCTTTACCCCTTACAGAAACCATCCTGCTTGCTACTGATTTAGAGCAAACTTAACCTATATCATCAGAACAAATTTTTCTGTTCTTAAAGAAATACTTCAGTTCTTACTATGTTTTGTTACAATAAACGTAATGTTAATGTAAATCAGACACCCAGATAATTCTTGCAGGAATAAATTGGCGTCTTGCTATTTGTGGGCACAAAGGTACTCTTATACATTGTTGGTGGGACTGCAAATTGGTGCAAACACTATGGAAAGTAGTATAGAGTTCCTTAGAAAAATTAAAATGGAACCACCATATGACCCAGTTTTTCTACTCCTTGGAATTTACCCTAAGGTCTTTAAAACAGCATACTACAGTGATGCAGCCACAGCAATGTTTGTAGCAGCTCAATTCACAATAGCCAAGCTATGTAAACAATGTAGATGTCCTTCAACAGATGAATGGATAAAGAAAATGTGGTAAATATACACAATGGAATACTACTCAGCCTTAAAGAACAATGAAATAATGGGTTTAGCTCTTA